AACGCAATGGTCTAGGAAAGTGCCTCTAATAGGAGGTGAAATTACCGGTTTGGGGTAATGTCTTGAGGGAGGAGAGGTAACACAGCCTGCCAGATCATCAGAAGAAGTTATGGAGCACCCGAACGTGAGACCCATTGCTCTAGAGTCTAGACTCTTAGCGGCAGATTGCCCTGGAAGAGTCAACTGATAAGATGCAATTTCAAAGAAGAGCACAGCTGTGAATGTAATGAAAGTTGCGATAATCCAGTTTGTTGCACAGCATTTGCTGCATCCGATATGGTAAGCATTTTGTGATGAAATGATTCGTTTCAGCAGTCAGCAATGGATTCAATTTGTTGCGGAATCAGTTCCTGAAAGATATTGGAATTCAAAATTGGAGCACATTTAGCAGTAACGGCTAGTTAAATTCAATGCATTCGTGCAGTTGATCAGTTCCACACCTAGGTTGATCTGCTTGTTATGACGCGAAACGAATTGCCCTATGAGGATACATCCAATCACTTCAATAATAGCGCTGAATGATAACGATAAAGACTTGTTGCAGTGGTGTAACCTCAATCGTATGAAATAAAGCACTATGAGATTGTTTGCATAACACTGAGTTAAGTCAGTTTCAGAAAAAGGCGATCGATGTATTCTGCCTGAACTGGATCCATGGGATCCATGGATGATGAGGTTCATTCATCCTGAGCGGGCTAAAAGATGCACTGTGAAGAAAAAATGTATTTACACAGAATTGAGGAACAACACTCTGAGGAGTATTATCGAGTGTCATTTCAGTAAGTGCAATTTGAATTATTATTGTTTCAGATTTCGTTTGAATTTCATATTTGGTTTTTACTAACGAAAATAGGCCATCTCAACAGATCATTCGAGTCCCAATTTTGCCATTTACTGAATCCAAACTCTCAACACACCAGTTCCTCATCGCATGAGTTATCAAAAACAATATTTCACGAATTTATGATGAGTGTTCGCATGTCCATTCAGAATTTATCGAATGCAGATATCGATGTTTGATTTCGGTGGCCGAAGAGGATGTGCGGGGTGATAATTGGAAGGAGATTCAGCAAAATCAAACATATCACGTAGAGTGTGATTTTGTCGAAACGCAGTGCTTCTTGGACGATAGGCTTATTTACAGTAATTTACATATTCAGGTAGCTCAACGTTACCTCTAAAGTAGACTACTGCTTGTGTACTGCTGTTGCACGGCTTTCACTGACATATGAATATGATGAAATGTTCGTTAAGACAAATAAAATCGTATGTGATGAAATCATCGCTGATCCTCGACAAGAGTTGCGACCTGCAAT